GTAGCTTCAACAGTCTATAATAATGGTGGTAGAGTCAGAGGTTTCATACCAGGGTATATAGCAACACGAGGGGTCTATGGACCAACATATGGTGCGGAGTACACCGTCTCCAGCAATTACTATAAGTATTTCGAGATGAATCATATTGTGGAAGCCTTCATTGTACTTCCTGGAGGGATTGACACTATGGAAGGTTTATTCACTTTGATCTCATGGGCATCCGAAGGGTTGCACTGTAAACCCATTGGTCTTTTGAACATTGACGGTTATTTCAATAACCTAATCAAGTTTCTAGATGATGCGGTGAGGCAGAACATCATGGCTTTGAATCAGAGGAAACTTTTTATTTCTTCTTTCTTTGTTGATGAGCTTTTGGACAAGCTAGAGTTTGCTAATTCTTTCCCAGGTGCTAGTTATGACGAGTTTGCAAATCCTGAAAGATTGGACTTAGAGTTACATTTGTAATATTTCCAAGTTGAAATAATATTGTTCATGTACATTATATGTTAGTCATAAATATCGTTCTAAGCTGCATGACCAGTGCATTTCAGAAGAGTATTTATTTCCAACATCAATAAGTACCATGTAAATATTAATCTTTTTTTAATCTTCTAGTCTCTCACTGTTGGTGTGACTGTTTCAGATCTTGTTTTGTACTGTCATCTTGTTGTGACTTTTTGCGTCAATAGGGTATACGAACGAGTCAATTATCTTAATGGTTGTATGTAGATTCACCCCTATAATGCGCTTCAGATTCGATACATATTCCGTATTCGATCTGGTTTGTGAGGCTCCATTCTTGTTCTTAGAAAACGATAGGTTCACTTTTGGGGATTTGTTCACTTTCTATCGAAGAAAGTTCCTTCTTCAACGTATTCTTCGGGTTGTGAGAAGCTGATTCACATCGTTCACTTAGCCATTTGCGTGCTATGGCAAACGTATATGTCGCGCTTATCAGGTTTACAGTCCCTTTCTTGATCTTCTGATGTCGACTGTGATTGTTGAAGAATATTCTAAAGCAATTAATACTTTATCGCAATCGGGTCTATGAGGATATTAGCAACTCAAAGGAAGTAAATTTTCAATGAGTTAACTATACGTGTTATGCCATAGTAACTTAATTGTTGATTACCTTCCCGGGGCAGAGATGTTGTGGAGGATGCGGATGCAGGACTTTGAAAATACTGACTCAAGGATCCGAAAATCGTTTTGCTCTGATACCAAAATGTAACACCCCAATCCGTATAACACGGAATTACACGAATTAAGGTGAAACGAGAGTTAAATAAAAATTTCGCTTGACATTTGAAAATGACAATTTCTGATAAATTTACAGACTCTGGTTCGCGATCCATTAAAAATATTTTCAGAGTAATGCGGAAGTACAGTAATAATTTAATCATGACACATTTTAAAATATGATGATCAAACATTTGCCTGCCATCCTTGCATCTCCTCTAACTCAATGCCGTCCAGGAATGGTTCCATCATTGTCTTCTTGTTACCTACGCGTAGTCAACGAAAAATACAAACTACACGCTCAGCGAAACCGCTGAAGGGTACCACGCTAAAATTGTAGAATAATTCATAGACATATACATTTACATATATATGTCCACAAAAAGTATAATAATATTCATGATATGGCATATTATATCATATGCATAATTTGATGAATCATGATGATAAATATTTAATGATAATTACATGATGGCACATTTAATCAATTTGATTGTTCTTGATAATGATTACATGAAGTCTATGGAATCAATGTAATTGTACTTGATGATGATAACATGATGCATGATTCTAACGAGCAAGGACACCCTTGCGCTATGAGATTCGCCCATTTGGTACGACGAACTCACGCGGCCTTAGTCTCTCAAGGGAGACTAGAAAGTAGGGGTAGTACTCGAAACCTGAATACCATGTACGTACACTAAGCCCAGAACAGGTGATGTCGGACTAGTAAGTCCCGCACATCACGCTATAAGAGACGCAATTAAGCATGATCTCTTACGCATGCACATGATGTGATATGCTTCAATATGGATGATGAAATGAATCATATGATATGAACAATTTGTAAACAATATAAATGGATAAATATACTTTATTTTATTTGGGTGAAATCTGATAAAATATAATTTAATTAAGCTACAAGGCTCGGAACGGTCGACCGTTTGGCGCGACGGTCGACCTCGACCTTCATTACGTCGGGCTGACGGAACACCGTGACGGTCGACCGTGGTTGACCGGCGTTCGACCGTTGTTGACTAGCTGCGGATGGCGAACTTCGGCTGGATGGGCGGCGGCCGACCGTCAACCACCGACGGTCGACCGTTTGGCTGACAGTCGTGGTTCGTTTTGAAGTTTAATACAACGGTCGACCGTTTACATCAACCGTTTGGGTCTGCGAATCTTATTCTTGATATTTTGAGTGTCCAAAAATACTTATTTAAGTCTTTTAAACACCTTTGATTAATAAATACATGTTTTTGGGTTGATTTCAAATGTTTATATATAATAACTTTATGATTTTGGTGTATTATGGTCTTAACACAAAGATGACTTATATATGTGTCACATATATATTTTGGAATGATTTCAACAAATGGATTAACATATATGTTCATGTACGCATGTGATGAATGATTCGACAAGTCTAACGCAAAGGTACAGACCTGGAAATCATCAGCCGAAACCTTACGGATGAGCGGGAGTGGAAACAAGAACGAAATTCACCAACTTTGTCATTCCCGTCATAATTGGACAGCCTGCGGTATTTTGAGCATATCTCCATCGTTTCTTCACGAAATCGCAAACCGTTTGATTCTGCAGATTCCTAAGATGTAAGGCTACATTTTTCTTATAGAAAGTATTTCGTTTTAACAGACGTAAGATAGCGTAAATTGGACCTGAAGTCAAAGGATAGTTGTTGTCCAGGATTTTGTATATGTCGATGAACAATGATTCCAACGATTAACTCCTTTATTTCAATATTCCAACACCGAATTTTCTCTACGATACCTTCCGGATATTCCTAATAATTGTTAGAGAGTTTATGGTAAGTATTTGGAATGAAATAATATGAATTTGGTGAAGAAACACATGCTAACCCGAGGAGCTCACCACCACTGGCGCAGTCCCGGTATTTTGTCCATATCTTCTTCGTTACTTAACGAAATCGCGATCTGTTTGTTGGGCTGGATTCGTATCGTCCGGGGCTACAACTTTGGTTCAGAAAGTATTTCGAGATATTGGATGGAAAATTTCAGAACTTACGTAGAAGTTGATGCTGCGTTTGGAACTCATGATTTGGAAACTATGGATGGTTTATTCTTGTTTCTTCTTCTTCTTGAACCATCTATGGAGGAGGCTGTTTTCTTCTCTCCTTAAAGTTGCCGACAGTGAGAGAGAGAGAGGAGGACAAAGGAGTTGTGTGTTATAATGATAGACCAACGCTAGAGGGGGGGTGAATAGCGTTTGATCGTAGAAATCGCAAGAATTAAAAATTTAAGAGAGAAGTAAAGAGAAGAGTAAGAGGCACACCGAATTTTACCCTGGTTCACCACAACTTGTGGCTAATCCAGCCTCCCGAGAGACTCTCTCGAGCTACACTACTATCTCGTTAAGCTTGCGGCTGCTTAACAAACCGTTACAACTTGAGAGTTCGAGTTACACGAACCTCAACGAATCCTTCAAAGGAAACAGCCCTTCCTTTGAATCAACGAGAGAAATACTTTCTCTCAACGTGTCTAAGAACACAAGTACACTCAAGAACGAGACTCTCTTATAGAGTAGATTATGAGTAAACTAAGTACGCTCAAGAACAACTCAACCTTCACACAAAATGGCTCTAGAAAGCTATGGAAAATGATGTTATTTGAATGCAATGAATGTATGAATATTGTGAAGTGAATTGGTGAGAAAAGCAGACCCAAACACTCCTTTTTATAGTGCCAAAATAGGCTCCAACGAACCAATGCATTAAAGGGGTGATTGGCTTGATTTAAGGGATTGAATAAAATTGGGATCTGCAGGATGTTGGCTTCCCATCGATGTTAGGGACTTACCCATCGCTGGTAAGCCAATTTTCCTTCAGTTTTGAAGCCAACGGTTGCCTACCCATCGATGGGTACAAGCTTCTCATCATTGGGTGGGAGGTTGACTTCCAAACAAGGAAAGAATCAACCTTAAATGACCTACAACGGTCATCCCTTCCCATCGATGGTTTATCCTCACCATCGCTGGGCAAGGTGGTTCTGTCTTGTGTTAATTTTGCACCAAGGCTTGAACATCGATGGGTAGAACTTCCCATCGCTGTTTGGCATGATTCTGGAAATTGGTTTGGCAAAGGGACCGCTTACCCATCGATAGGAAGATCTTCCCATCGCTGGGTGGGTGGTTAGTCAAGAACCCATGGTTTTTGCCTTAACCACGGCCTAGCCAACCGATGCAAAAACCGACCGAAAAATCCAAAGTTCTCCAAAATAAAAAACCAAGTGTTTAAAACATTTATTTGATGTATTTGGCTAAGAAATCAAGTAAGACACTTTAAAAACCACGTCATTTGAGTGAAAACCACGGCTAGCCAAGTTTATGTCGTTTTGAAAGATTTTTGTCAAACGACCAAAAAGTGAAAGATGGTTTTCAAGGTGTTTTTGTTGGAGAATCGTTTAAACATGCCAAAGAGTGAAAACCAATCATAAAAAGTTGAAGACCACTCGGTTGGTTTGGACGCCAAAAACCAATGCCGATAACCGAGAGCCGAACGTCGGTTTCCAAAACCCGAACGCTGGATGGCTTGGTTTTTGGTTTGGGCGAACACCAAGTGTTTTTAATGATTTAAACATGTTTGAAAAACATTTTTATGATGTGATAAAATGCAATAAAAGACTTTAGCCTTAAGAGCCAAGGTGTAAAGATTGGGTCGGTCTTGATCACAATGAAGACCGACTTAACGACACTAAGACTATGGTCTTCGTTCTTGGTCTTCTTTTAGCTTTTCTTCTTCTCTTCATTGTTCGCCTTGTATATTCAGTGTTTGACTTGATCACGGCGGTTTGGCATTATCAAAACCTGTCATAAGAACAAACACGGCTTTAGTACGAAAACGTGACAAACCCATGTTTCAACAATTTCCCCCTTTTTGATAATGGCAAACGAGATTAGGTTATGCATATGAGGAAGGCTTTGAGGCTTAAAAAAAGATGTTCCCCCTTAATAGATGCCATTTTATTAAAAAGATTACCCCTCAATTTATGCATAACCTTGCTATCTTCCCCCTTTTGACATTAACAAAAAGAATTTAAAGTGAACTTTTAGAGTTTAAAAGTAAACTTTTATTCATTAAAAGAGGAGAAAATGCTGCGTACAACGGAATTTAAATAGATAAAGGAATTGCAATTAAAGTAGGGAAAGGAGAGAAGGAAGAGTCTAGGCATCGGCGTCCTCTTCCTCGGCGTCATCGTCTTCTTCGTCGTCCTCGACGTCCATGGGGTCCCCGTCGACCACATCCTCAAAGTCGGCTTCGTCGGGGGAGGAGGACGGAGCATAGGAGTTATCCTCCTCGTCCTCGCCTTCATAGTTCTGGCCAAGGAAGGTGGTGTCAAAGGGCGGCGGGACGTAGTTGATGCCACGGAAGAACGCCGTCATGTCGTGGTGTTGGTGTTGCAGCGTCCAGTCCATCCTTTCCAGGTACTGGCCCATGCCATCCACGGTGATGGTTAGCCGATTTAGGGTATCGGCTATGGACTGTAAAGAGGCTTTGGCGGGAGCGAGGGCTGGAGCCCGACTGGGTCCTGCCCCGGTTCTGTCACCAGACTTCTTCCGGAAGGTGCTATCTTGGATGATCCAAATCTTCGTCATCTTCGTGTCCGGGCCGGTGATGTGGATGTCGGAGGCAACAATGAGATCCATGACGAGGAAGGCATATGGCAAGCTCCGCTCGGTGGTGATGGAGGCGCAATCCGCCATGTGAATCATGACGAATTTTGCCCAATTGATCGAGGCGCCATGGGTGATAGCATGAACGGCCTTGAGATCCTCGTTGAAGAGACAGGTGTGGCTACCGTCCCGGGGGCAAAGAATCCGGGTGAGGATGTAGAGTAGAAGACGCTTTTCCGGCGGGGCTGAGTGGATGGTTGGTGCGCCGCTGTGACGGATGAGGTTGGTGATTCCAAGCTCTCGGATGACCACCGCCTCGTTGTTGAGAATCCAATCATCGCCACCATATGTCGCGATGTCGTCACCGCGGGTGGGCAGCCCTGCAACCCGAGCAAAAGTAGCCAAGTCGAACTCTATGTCATTGAGATTGATGCTGCTCCGGATGGTGTCCCCGTCTCAGCGGAGATTGGAGTAGAAGGCCCGGACATAAGCGGGATTGAAGGCGGTGCGACTCCTGGAGACAAAGGGCCACAAACCCGACTCCTTAAGTTGGTTGTCAAGGTCGTAGTATCCCTTCTGTTGAGGGAACAGCTCGGGCAGCACCCTTAGCGGTGAGATGGGACGTTTGGCGAAGTGGGTGATGAATCGAGTAAGTTCTTCCTCTGAGCCAAATTCGAGGAAGGATCCGTCCAGGTATGGAAACTGCTGGGGCGCAGAGGACGTTGCTTCGACGTTGGTCTTCTTCTTGGAGGCCTTGCTCTTAGATTTTCCTCCGGCCATTGAGACAAAAGAGAGAAAATTATGAAGAATTTATGAAGATTATGCTAAAGGAATGCAATTTGTGAAGTTGAAAGTGTGAAAAAATGGCCAAGGTGATAGGAATATATAGGGAGAGAGGTGGAGGGCCGTTTGAATTCAAAAATATAGCTGTTGGGCATTTAATTTGGTGCCCAACGGTTATTTTTTTTGAATTTCGGCAGGCTCCCAGCGATGGTATGAGCTACCCATCGATGGGAAGGTTACCACTGGAAAGCACGGAAGAAATTAAAGCTGCCTTCCCAGCGATGTGTGGATTTTCCCATCGATGGGAAGGTGGCTTCTAGAAATCCGATAAAACCTTTTTTTAAAAAAAATAGTGTCAAACACCCAGCGATGGGAGAAACTTCCCATCGATGGGAGGGAAGGTTCTGGAAAAATTTTTGAAACTGAAATCATTCACCCAGCGATGGGATAAAAGACCCATCGATAGGTAGGGTGTTTCTGAAATTTTTTTTTTGACAAAAGTCCTTCACCCAGCGATGGGATGAAATACCCATCGATGGGAAGAGGGGTTCTGAGAAAAAAGAATACTTCCCTCCCAGCGATGGTGTAATCCACCCATCGCTGGTTCCCCCTGATTTCCAGAATTCTACACTTCGAACCGTCCCTGCAAAAAAGAGTTAGAAAACCCTCCGACGCTCAAGTTAGTAAATGTTCAATGAGAGTGATGAAATGCACAAGTTAGATCATCGTGGAGTCAAGGATTCCGAGTTCACTATGAATGCGGAAGAACGACTCTTTCTCTAAAGGTTTTGTGAAAATGTCGGCTAATTGGTTGTGTGTTTCAACAAACTCAATTTCGACATCACCTTTGAGAACATGATCTCTAATGAAATGGTGCCTAATGTCAATGTGTTTCGTCCTTGAATGAAGAACAGGATTCTTCGTCAAGCTTATGGCGCTAGTATTGTCACACCGAAGTGGAACGTGACTGATACTAAGGCCATAGTCCACAAGTTGTTGCTTCATCCAAAGAGTTTGAGCACAACAACTACCGGCGGCAACGTATTCCGCTTCGGTTGTGGATAACGCAACACTGACTTGTTTCTTGCTAAACCATGAAACTAAAGAGCTACCAAGTAAGTGGCAAGTCCCACTCGTACTTTTACGGTCCAATTTGCAACCGGCAAAGTCCGAGTCGGAGTAACNGACATGATTGATACCTTGCGCAAAGGCATACGCTAAACATGATATCCGGCCTGCTAGCGGTAAGGTAGAGAAGGGATCCGATCATACCTCGATACTTTTTTACTTCAACTTCCTTACCTTTTTCGTCTTTGTCTAGGTGGTCGGACGTGCTCATCGGGGTCGCCATGGCTTTGGCGTTGTCCATTTCGAATCGTTTTAGGAGCTCCTTGCAATATTTAGTTTGGCAAATGAACGTGCCATCTTTCATTTGCTTGACTTGGAGTCCAAAAAAGAATGTAAGCTCTCCCATCATGGACATTTCAAATTCGCTTGTCATTAGCATTGAGAATTCCTTGCACAAAGACTCGTTAGTAGCACCGAATATAATATCGTCTACATAAACTTGAACCAAAAGGATGTTATTGTGTTTACTCTTGATAAAAAGTGTAGTGTCAACCTTTCCCCTTTGGAAACCACTATCCAAAAGAAATTTACTCAAACTTCGTACCAATCAGGTTTTTCCCTTAACAAACATCGGGTGGATCGTTAACTCCTCTACCCTTCTACCTTTCTTTATTAAAAAAAGAATGCTCTTAAAAATGTACCCTAAAACACTATTATCTATCTGAAATCCACAATTCAAAAAATTACATAAGAGACTTAAAAAATGATTATTTCTACTCACTACACATTATGCCTTAGAATATTCATATAGTTTGGTCACTAAGTATACATTCACAAAACAGAAATTAAAGTAGGGTTATTTCATTGTGAGGGTGACACGTGGAAGGTGAGATGGAGGTGACATGCCATTGAGGTGGATTTATTATTTACAAGAGCGTTTCACATTCGGCCTTGAAAATCAGACGCCACCCAAAAACGTCGTTTCATATGCTTTAACCGGCGCCTGTTCCCCTCTGCGACCGGAGAAGTTCAAGAAACCGGCCCGTCAAGCATCGATTCCGGTGAGCAGCTTCCGGAACCCATCGGTCGACCCTCAGAATTAGCCAAACCCATTGTGCACGAATGAGCCAGTACGAAGAAGAAACATTCCAGATTCAATTTTGGACGCATTTTGACAAGTTTGCGCCGGTTCATTAGTCATGGTGCATCTATCGAGCAACTTCGCCTAACCCATCAGGTATTATCTTCTTCTTTAATTTATGACCTTTTCTTAAAACTATTGTATTTAAATTGTGAAGGGCAGGCAGCACCAAAAACAACCACTTCATATGCCTTTGTTGTTCACTCTTCAAAAATATCATCTGATCATTCTTCATTAAGCTAAAGCCCTACTGCACCTTAGCCTTTTAATCAATCATTGCCTCAAATTCCTCACACTTAAACGTTGCTTGCCCTCAAGCAACAAATTGAATAAGTTAAGTATGAAAACAAATTAGTAATCACACAAGAAAAGTTTAAGTTACACAACTTGAAGTAAAGGAAGGATAAGATGGTCATCAACGTTTTTATGTGAACAAATAAATTTATAGATTCTCACCCATATTGCTAGAAATTTGAAAATACTTTGTCAAACCAGTTTTCTTACCCAATTAAATCAAACTAAACTCTAAATTTTCATTGGGATAATCATATTTCTAAGGATTATTTTAAAATCAAAAAGAGTTTAAAAGCTCTAAAAAATGGATTTCCAAAAAGGTTTTCGTCAAACAATAAGGGCCTATTTATTTTATTAAGCATTATTTATCACGAGAGAATTCTCGAAATGCCAAGGCATATTGCATTACTGAGATTGTGGATTTATTCTATGACAAATGCATACTTGCTCCCTCGCCTTATGCGATTAGCGGGAGAAGCAGAGCCCCTTTTCGAAGATAGAATTTCCAATTCGTCACTTAAGCGCAATCCCAATAAAA